ATTCACAAGAACAGTAATATTACACTTATAAAGACTTTATACAAAGTCATCCATACAAAGTGACATAACATTACTCATGCATTGTCTTATCATTCACTATCATTAATGTGCATCTATTAAATTGATTTTTCATATTAATTCTTTTGATTATAATTTAACACAGTCATTTTGTAGGAAAGACTTTGTATAAAGTCTTTGTAGCTGTAGTAGTATTCGGATAAAAAAAAGAGCGATCTTCATACAGTAGGAAAGGTGCTTAATTTGTTAAACCTGTAGTTGGTGAGAATAATGCCTAATAATTATAAATTTTTAAATTTTTAAAATATCTTTCTAAATACGGGTGTCCTGAGCTGATGTTCCCAGATCATCTCTCTTTTCTTACTATGATTGAGTGAGTTTTTCATCTCTTGTATAAAGAGTAATAAGCAAAGGTTCACCAGATGACAATAGAGCAAAATGAAAAACAAAGAATAGAAGAAATTCATAGAACACTGCTCATCTTATCTGTCAAAAGGCTACATATTTTGGAAATTCTCCTGAATTTTTAGCTTTTCGTAGCTGGAAGTTGTAACAGATTTTGTTGTGGTAGCAGACCTTTTTATCACACCAGGGGCGGAGGGAGGGGGTGGCTCACCCATGCTGCAGCCTAGTGCCTAGATGAGATTTTGAGAACAAAACAATTAAATTCATATTTAGTGCGCAATAATGGGTTTGTTTGGTGTGCGAAATCTATTTATATTTTTTAAGAGCACTACAGTTGTTAAGATGCAATGCTAATGTTTAGAGAAGAAGGATGGACAAGAAATATATATGACCTTGGTGGCTTGGTCAGTTGTCACACAAGTCAAAAGAAAAAAAAAAACTTTTATTGCCGTCAAATTAAATTATAAAAATTCTACATCCATATCTATCTTTTGTATGTGGTATTTACACAAAAAGTCTAATTTGAATCGATCCACATTCAATTCTATTTCAATACTTAGATGAGAAGCAATAGATGAAAATAATAAGAAAACGATTCATTTAGTTTTATTTTCTGTTAAATTTCACTGCTTAGATGGGGAATGATGGACAAAATTAAGAGTAATGCTACAATCACCGAAGGTTGCGCATCGAATCTGTGCACCGAATGATGTAGTAAAATCTTGACCATTGATTAATATTAACTGATAATAAATCAATGATCAAGATTTTGCTACGTCATTCGGTGTACAACCTTCGGTGACTATCATTTTCACAAAATTAATAAGAAAGCGATACATTTTTATTGTCTCTTACATTAAGAAGAAAAGACAAAGAAGAGAGGATTTTTTTTTCTTTTTACAACAAACAATTTATTCAAACCAGAGAGACTAAATCTTTACAAGCCAAACTATACACCTCCATCTATACACCTTTTACAAAAGCAAGTCTTCAAACTCGTTGCTCTAGATGTTAGGCCCAGCTTTCAGTAGTCTTCTCTCCAGGGTAGCCCAAGGCTATCAGCAGCCAGATTTTTACACTCCAAATGTCCTGATCAAGTAATGCAGCAGAGAGATTTAGGAAGTTTGGGGCAGGGGAATGCAAGGTGTCCCCATGTACAGAGTTGTTCAAAAGCTGAAGAGTTTAAAGTCAGTATTTTGTCAAATGAACAGAAGACAGGGCGATATTTTGTTGAGATTTCCTAAATATTGTGTAATCTTGTAAATCTTCTATAATTCTTTAGTTATGTCAAGTATATGATTTCAAAATATTCTAGCTATTATATAATCTCTTAATTATATCACACACAATATTATGTTTTCTGTAATTGATAAAATTAAGAGATTCAGAAGATCATATACTCTTTATATGAACTTCAAGCCAGTTATCTCTGTGGTAACTTTTCTAACACCTCTAACTTCAAATTCCAAAGGTCTAAAAGATCAATAAGACATGCTTTCACAGTTCTGTTGAACCGGTCGTCACAGCCACAAAATTAAACCTAAATACCGTAGTTAGCGGCAAGCAAGGTCGAATCCACAGAGAGCAAGACTAATGACCTAATGTATATTTGAGTTAACAAAAGAGAAATTGACAAAATGATTGATTAAAACTAAGGAAACTAATTACTTGCAGGAAATTAAAAAGCATCAAATAAATTGCTAACTAAAACACAATATTAAAAGTTTTGTTGCTATTGTTTTGGTTTGACTCAAGACCAACTCTCACAATTCCTCTCCTCGCTCTTCAATTTCCTAAACTTACAAGGCCAGGCAAATCAATAAAATTATCTTCCGGCAATCTAGGTATAATCTATCATGTCTTCCCGTCGTCTTAGTTATAGATCGATTGGTTAAAGACTATCATTGACTAACCGAAAAATGCTAAACCCTTAAACACCACTAGTTGGTACAATGTTAACAAGTACAACCTATCAACTTGTATCATCCAATCAAATAATTACACAACAAATGCATTCCTAGTAGAAATGATATTAAACGCTAATACAACTTGATTGCAATCAGTACCAAAACAATTTAAAGTAATAATCAACATTCAATAATCTCAAACCGACATTCAATTATGTGAAAAGTTATAAATCAGCAAACGTTCTCAATGGACATTATCAATCAGCACGTCGAGCATCAGAATAATATTAAAGCATCGTAAACAAACTGAAACGAAAACAAATATAATCTGAATACAAGAAACTTAACCAAATGTTCAACATTCGGGTTCATCCAACTAGTCGAGAGCTGATGAGGAGAGCAATGGAGTCAATCCCGACTCGCCTACGCCGTAACAGACAACTGGAAACTCAGCCACTCATGGTGGTGTCGACGGAGGCTGAAGCAGTGGAAACGAAGCTGATCATGGCGGAGAGGAAGTAACCGACAGCGATATGATGTGAAGAAGGGGCGAAAACGACCAACGGATAGCCGGGAATACAAACAGTTGCTCTCGCCAGAAAACGTTAATTTTTCGGCGAGCCTTCCAGAAAATGGTGGCGGAAATGGGATCCGAAGGTACCAATGGAAAGCTCTGGTGATAGGGAGTTCAGATCAGGTTTTGGAGAGGTGAAAGGTCACCGAAAATGAGCAAGATCACGGTTGGAAGATGAAGAGGCGTGGCGGCAAGATGGCGGATTCCGACGGTTTTGGCGGTAGCTGAAGCTTAGAATGGGTAGGTCCAGCCGTGGGGAGGGAAAATCAGTTTCCAGAGAGCCCAACCGTCATCGAAAAATGCCAAAATCACGGCTGTAATGCCAAGAGTCGCGGTTGGAATGCGAAACGTCGTGGCAACGATGATGCTTATCACGGTGGTGATCCGGGACGATGAAGATGATAGGTGCAAGTGGAATACGAAGGGTCGTCGGAGGTCGCGGGAATTTGATCGGAGAAGGTGAAGGATTTTGGTGGGCGATAGCCACCCAATCTACGACCACGCGCTACATTTTTATACAAAGTATGGCAAATTTCAATTTGGTCCCTGTATGATTGACAAGTGACAAAATCAACATCTTGAAACATGACATTTTACCCCCTAAGCAACATAAATGAGACAAAATCACCCTTAATCCATAAACCACAACCTAATATCAACTCATACCATTTCCAAATTCATCCAAAATATGCTAAATTAGTAAGAAAAACTCAAAATATGATTTTTATACATAAATTCATAATTTCTCTTAATTGTCTCAATATAACTTCAATTATTAACAAAATAGAGTCACTTTCATGACTCTAACAAGTTCATATTCGTAATGAAAATCAAAATCAAACGAGCTTTTATCATTTTGTTCCACACGAGATTTATGTTCTTGTTGAGCTCATCTTAGGACACCTGTGTTATCTTTTAACAAATGTACTGCCCCAGCCAAACTCCCCACCTGATAATGCCTTTCACTTGGGTCCAAAAAGAGGAGCATGCCCTACCTCTGATTACGGAATAAGTAAAATGACATTAAAAGTAGTGGTATTTCACTTTCGTCTTTCGGCTCCTACTTATACTACACTTCTCAAGTCATTTCACAAAGTTGGACTAGAGTCAAGCTCAACAGAGTCTTCTTTTCCCTCTGATTCTGCCAAGTCCATTTTCTTGGTTGTGGTTTTGCTGGATAGTAGATAGAGACAATGAGAATCTCATTAATCCATTCATGTGCATCACTAATTAGATGATGAGACATTTCGCTATCCTAATAGAGTAATAGTTACTCTCGTTTGGTTGAATTTCTTTCACTTTTAACATTTAGAGCACCGGGCAGAATCGCAACCTATCCCAATCAACTCAAACACACAACCAATCAACCAAACCACCATACCATTTCGTCTCAAAAATCCCAATCGGTAAAAAATAATTCCACCCATCTTCAACTCTTCAGCCATGTCATTTTGCAACCTTTCAAGAAAATACCCAGAAAAATACCAAAAATCTATCCCAATCGGCCATCTACTCCAACTATCTAACCAATCTAACAAATCTTCAAACCCAAACATCCATTCCCCAATTTTTTTAGCCAACAAGTTTCAAACAATAAACAACCACAAACACAACCAATCGCCTAGGGAATTAGATTGACAAAGTAACATCACCGATTCCACAAAGATCTAACCAACGACACCATCACCACCATCACAATCCGACGAAACTGTCACCAACACCAACAAATTCCATTGTCGATCAGCCACCGCAAACCTGCAATCGAAAAGACTCAACAATCAACCACTGCCGTCACCAATCTAGCGGAGAAAAACTCCGATATGCCGCTAATTTGTTGTTGCCATCGTTGGAGAAGAAGCCCAACATGTCGATCTATTGCTGTCATCAATTGAGCCAACGCCATCCCGATCTGGTGCTGTCGTTGTGGAGAAGACTCCCAAGCATAGGTTGGGTGTTTTAAAAACCGCTATTAAAAACCCCTTAAAACCGTTACAGTAGTTTACTCTCAAAACCGCTACGATGGTTTATCTTCATAATCGCTATCATAAAACTCTCAAGCAGGCCCTTAAAAAAGGAAAAAAAGCAAATTCAAAAAGGGTCAAAGAGTTGATAAGAAAAAAATTCTCATTTTGTAAGACCTCCAGCCATTGCTGCACTTGCTGGTCAATATTCATATTCAGGCCCACCTTCACAATTTAACCCACACATAGGTTCTTCCTTCGTCAACTAGTCCTATTGGTGTTCCAAGTCAGCAGTCGACATCTGGTCAATAAGCACACTTTGCTTCACAGTCACAGCAGTTTGCAAACCTATCTGCTTCCTTTGCAACCTCAGCCACACCCACTGATCTAATCTGGCACATGGATTCCAGTGCAACCGATCACATCACTTCTGATCTAGCTCAGTTGAATGTCAGTAAACCGTATGAAGGTTCAGATCAGCTACAAGTAGGCAATGGTGAGCTCTTACCTATTTCTCATACTGGTTTGTCATCATTACCTAGCATCTTACAATCCAAAAGTTTATATCTTAAAAATATCCAATGTGTACCAAAAATAACTAAGAATTTGCTAAGCATTTCTAAATTTATAAAGGATAACAATGTAGTTGTTGAGTTTAATTCTGATTGCTGTCTTGTAAAGGACAAAGTTTCCAGGACAAAGTTTCCAGGACTATGCTACTTCAAGGAGACCTTAAAGCAAGGCTATATCGGCTTATCATACCTTCTTGTATGTCTGTTCAGTCCTCTCCTCATTTACAAGTTTCATCCTCATAGTTTCTACACTCTGAAAATTATGCTCTGTCAAATAATAATCAGGGTCGTACATCTTTACAGTCGTCAGAATTCGAGTTACCAAAGTCTGATATCAATATCAATGTCAATAAACCTGAGTGTTTGAGTGATAGTACAATTTCAGTTTCTGTGTGTAGTCCTGACAATACGTGTATTGATTCTTCTAGCAATAAAGAGAAATTTCAATATTCAAGTGTTCCATTAATTCCTGATTGTGTTCCTGTTTCTGACGCAAGTGTTAAATCTATTGATAATTATGTTAACTCTGAGGTTTTAATGAATTCTAATGACAGTTGTGTACAATCTGATGCTGCTTTAGTGAAATCTAATGCTTATGATGTTTTAGTGAATTCTGATGCTGCTTTAGTGAGTGCCGATGCTTTCTTAAACTCTACTGCTAATATCATTAATTCTGATGCTGCTTTAGTGAGTTCTAATGCTTTCCTAAACTTTGGTGCTAATATTGTTAAATCTGATGCTACTTTAGTGCGTTTTGATGCTTTACCAAACTCTGCTGCTGATATGGTTAAATCTGATGCTTTAGTGAGTTCTGATGCTTCCTTAAACTTCGGTGCTAAATGCTAATATTGTTAAATCTGATACTGCTTTAGTGTGTTCTGATGCTTTACTAAACTACTCTGCTAATATGGTTAAATCCGATGCTTTAAGTGCACACTCTAATGCTTTATTGAACTCTGATGCTTCGTGTGTTAAATCTGATGCTTTAAGATGCTCACTCTAATGCTTTATCGAACTTTGATGCTTCCTATGTTAAATCTGATGTCTTATTGACTCCTATTTCAAAGTGTGATTCAGTTGTACATTTGCCGTCTTCAACTGCCTTTGTTGCTACTAGTAGTAATATCAATTCCTTAATTTGGCACCAAAGGTTAGGACATCCTCATACTTAGAGGTGGAAAAATGGGCCGGGTTAGGCGGGCCAACCCTAACCCGGCCCGTAAAAAAGAGGGCTCAAACCGGCCCGCCTTAATGGCGGGCCGGGTTGAGCCCAACCCGCCAGCAACCCCCGGACGGGCCGGGTTGCACAATGGTAACCCGACGGCCCGCGGGTTGCTAATTTGTCCTCTTTGCAAGAGGCCCGCAATCCGGCCCGCCCGGGGGTTGAAATATAGCTGTTTTATAGCCGTTGGAGGGGTCTTTTTCGTCATTTTCTTTCCCTATTTTTTTTTCTATAAATTGGCCCTAAACTCTCATATTTTTCTCACAACTCAAATTCTCTTAATATAATATAATATAACAACTAAGTGTCCATACCTTTTCATCTTGAGATTTCAAAGCCCAGAACCCATGGTAGCAGAATGCCACTATCACCACAATTAATAAAACAGAAAACGATAACACTACACCATAACCAGAAATGATACATCTAGTTTAGCTCTAAAACTCAGAAATTTGAACATATTTACACAAGTACATACTACAGTCTACTGTCTACATACCCTTAATGATGGAAACTTGCGACGGAGAGAGACAGGAGATGACGAGCTTGCGACGGAGAGAGATAGGAGATGACGAGCTTGCAATGCCCAACGACGACGGAGAGAGGAGATGACGAGCCGACGAGGATGAATGATGGCGAATGCGATCGGCGACGTGAACACTGAACAGAGTGATGATGAGATGAGAGATTGAGAGAATGAAAACGAGAACACTAACAGTGATGAGAGATTCAGAGGCGCGAGAGAGAAGAGAAAGTTTGTTTTAGAGTTGGGTGGCGTTAATAGGTTAGGGACTTGGGGTTTAGCTTTTAAAAAAACGGGTACCCGCGGGCACCCGTGGGTTTACCTGTGTAACCCGTCAAAAAACAGGTCCGTCCAGGTACGGGAAAAATTTAAACGAGTTCAACATATTAAACCCATGCCCAATATTTTTTACCCGAGTACGGGCCGACCCACAGGTCTGGACCCATTTTGCCAGGTCTACTCACAAGTAACACATTTTAATGCTACACATTCAAAGGTGAAATAAAACACACACATAAAAAAAATAAAAAAAAAAAAAGTTCATTGGGTGGGACAATTCTTCGTGAGGGTTGAGCTAAGCGGTTTGTCCACAAAACTTGCTAAATTTGATACATAATTTGCTATTGGGATGGGGTTGTCTATTAAGAGGATTGGGATTTTTACTTTTACAAATATCATTAATTCTTATTAGTTATAAAATTTAAAAGTTTGTTACTGTTTTTACTCATTGTTAAAATTAGCGATAAAACACTAATGTTATATACGTAGCACAGGCACGAGGCCCGCAAGCCCTCGTTATTAAGACAGGTTCACAGGTCGTTTTGCTAGGCAGGTTTCGACAGTGATCCTTTCGCAAGTTCACCTACGAAAACCTTTTTACAACTTCTTCTTCCTCTAAATGATAAGATTCAGTGGATTTCTTGCAACGTCGTAAGAAACAAACCACCCATCTCACCGCGATCCAAAGCAGAAGGATGTTGTAAACTATTGCTTCAAAAAAGTTTCATATAATAGTAAAAATAATATTTCTTTAGGGATTGGAAACTATTATTTCAAGAGTTTCATAAATTAGGATATATAATAGTTCTTAACGCGTGAAAGGCGAAATATAGATCAATGTCTAATTAAAATGCAAATAATTTCCAAGGTATACAGGTGATGTTTGTTGACTATGGGGAAATCAGACATTTTTGATCAGAAGGATTTGAAACTTCAAGTGCTCCGACACCATGAAGAAGAAAATAAGAAAATAAAGGCTTGACATATTTTGGTTGTATTCTATTCTCAATGTTACAACAAAAAAAGTCGCCTTATTTTCATCATCGGTGATTGAAGTGTTATGATTAATTTTTAAACTTTTATTGTGGTTATAATGTTTTAGTTTATTTTTAAATAAAGAGGGTTAAAATAAATAATCTAAATAATAATAATAATATTAAAAAGAAAGATAATTTAATAATTTATATAATATATTCACCAATTTATTTTAATTTAACCAAATATATTTAATATAACATTTTCGTAATCTTTAAGTTAACCCATTAATATAAACAACTTTCCCTGAATTCATCAATTTTAAATAATATCTCCCAAAATACAATTGTGTCATAAAATCTATCATTTAATTTTTAAAATTATATCCTTGAAAAATTTCAACTCTCCTTACATCAGATTGCAAAATATTTATTCTTATTTTTAGTCAAAATTGTGGTTGGTCTTTAGTATTCTTCATGATGCAAAGCTGATCGTAATATTATCTGCCATTATTAAATCACATTTAGAGAGCTGAAAAACAATGATAAATTCATCCATTCAGTGTATCAGACTCACTCAATTCTCACTCACCATGGCTTTACATAACCCACTAAACATACTCGAGATTTCCCGGGTTGCCCCATTTCCCAACTCACCCCAATCCGCTTCGGACTTCTCTTTTCCTCTTACTTTCTACGACACATTCTGGTTGAACTTTCCTCCAGTGGAGCGTCTNAACCCTCTCTTTCTCTCCCACGGCGGCAACACCTTTTGGCCTAAAATCAATTCAATTGATTTGCTTTCTTCTTAATCTTGAAGCCAAAGAGAATCTAGCAAATCCCTCTTTGGTTCTTTTGAGATTGTCTTCATGTGGACTACGCAGGTTCGATCCTACACTTGGATCGGTAGCAAAACATTCGTCGACAAATTTGGAGGAGCCTCCAACGTGCGTTTGTTTTCCTTAAACTCAGATTTATTTTTCTGCAGATTTTATTTAATATAAATTGTAAAATAATACCCTTGATCTTGGCTCATGTAAACAATCCCTGAATTATTTGTTTTGTTTCCGCTACATATATGGGACCGTTTACTAACATCAAGGGTCATCTCAAGTGGATGTAGATGCTGTGTCAAGCACTGAAATTTGTGATATTTGGGTCGGGCTTTCTTTTTAATACAAAGCAAGACATAAAAGTAGATTGGACCGGCTTGGATTACGAATGAAGTACAGGTGTCTCGGTCAACCGAGGATCGATGTGAGGTCGTATGTAAGGATTCTCCCAACTGCAAGTGGCAGGTTCGAGCAATATACAACCCCATATTTTAAAGTAAAAAAATTCATATAAGATAATTTAAATTAATGATTTACTTATATACTATTTAACCAAAATTTAATATTTCCAAAATACTATTGGTAATATATCTTCATTTCTCTTCTTTTTCAAAATAAAACGTATATTTTAAATGTTTAAACTTATTATGTTAAATGAAAAATATTTTTATTAATATAATTTCTTTATGATTAAATTTATGTATACTTAAAAAAAAATCCAGCCTTCTCGAACATAAATTTTTAGTTTCACACTTGATTATTTATGTGAAAAACTCATATTTGTCAAACTTATGAGTTGTGTGTGTGCACATATGTTCTGCATGCATACTGGTTGTCAGACTTGAGTCTTGACTTGTTTTGTTTAGAGTGTGTGTGCATAACAATTTGTGCTTATACTCTTGCTTTAAACATTTGTAACCCAGTATGAGTTGTATGTCTGATAAAGTGAAAAAGATATTGTTTATCTTTGTCTCTCACTTTATAAGACATTTTTACATGTGTTACAATATCCTCAAGTGATCTTAGGGAATAAAGTTTATTTTCCTAATTTGTTTTGTGGTTCAAACCAAAAGAATGAATATTTTCCTTATTTGGACAAACATACGTCAGTCTCTTGTTGGCTAACATGACATTATAGTATTAAGCAAGAAACCCTACATTATATAATACCCTTTCTTGCTTTTATGAATCTAACATTTTGATTTTTTGTTTCATTGTACTCTGAAATTTCTTAGAGTATTTCTTCTCTTAAGGCTCAAGGTTCATATCCATTTTTGTGCTAAAACCTCACCATATCATTCATTGTTTTGATGGCTCTTGGAACGTGGTTCCTTTGTAGATGTTGGTGCATAGCGTTAGTGCTTGAAGCTTGTTGGTTCACAAGTTGTTCTTGGGTGTGTTCCCAGTGTGAAAAAGATCCAAAGAGTTGCCACACGTTAAGGATTTAGAGTGTGGCGCTAAGTGTAAAGTTGAACAGGGAGTTCTTTTTGCTGTAACTTAGATCAACTTTTGAACTATATCTTGTAATGTGATTTTAACTTAGTGGATTGCTTTGATTTGGACAAGGTCCCATGGATGTAGGCTAAAAGTGGATTTAGCCGAACCATGTATATGGCTACGTTA